ATGAACAACAGAAAAGTGGGTGAAGGGAGACATCAGTCAGTGTAAAACATGAAAGAATAGTAATAATTTATAAATTACCAAAGGTTCGTTAGGGAGGGTAAACAGTGTCACTACTCCATCCTCACTATGAAATTGGTCTCCAAACTCCTCCCTTTCGCACCCAGTGGAAGAAACCCACACTGCTTCTTACCTTTCCATTTCGTGTGCCCCGCCTTTCCTCGGTTGGGATAGCGGGGTTGGGACATGTTAGTCACAGGCCTGAGCATGACTCATGACTGCCAGGTGGCCCATACCAGAGTGACCTAGCCCTCGCTGCCCCTTTCCAACATATTGGCCACCAGTTGGCCATGACAAGGATGCTGTCCAGGTGGTACTCACCTGTCTTTTCTCCACTCCCCAAGGGATGCAGGGTTGATGGCAATTCTAGGCGATGTGGAAGCTAAGGTCTGGGATTGGCTACTCGAGAACAGGGTGTCGATGTTGAGAGGTGACTGAGGAGGCGTGCTACATTCTGAATGGGACAGGGAACCTGCTGAGAAAGTAGTGGGTCACATGGGCCTTCACAGGCTGGAAGGCAGATACGACCCTGACACCAGATTCCTCAACCCAACGATGCACACAGTTCAAGTGCTCAGTTCCACACGGCTTTCTTTTTTTAAGACAGACTTGATATATATAGTCTGCTGTTTTCAGCAGTTTCATGCTGAATGAATGGAAAACATGCAGAAAGTATAGAGTTCCTATTACACTTTCCTCCCCTTCACCTGGTTTTGCTTGTTAATGTCTTACATTCACATGATACCTTTGTAACTGCTGATGAACCAACAGACACAGCATTACTAGATAAAAAGAACATTACTAAATAAATAAAATAGTACATTTTAACTAGTACTCACTCTGCATTATAAAAGGGGTTGCTGAAGGTTTGTGGAACAATGGAGTAAAGAGATCTTGGAAATTTCCCTTCAACTTTTTGCATAGTTTTGATATACAGGTATCTAAACTTTTTTAGAGTTAGCTTTCTGCGACTCCACTTTTAGGAAAGACCTACACTAGTACCTATTTTTGCTAATCAAAAATCAGAAGAGGATTTTCGCTTCAACCAAAAAAGGCAAAAAAACGACACTGGCCTTTCAGCATTCATTTTGCAATGAACTGTTAAACGGCAGCACACACCCATAGCCATGAAAGTGAGTTCCCGCTTCCTTCCTCCAGGATTTAGATTCAGAATCTAGCACCAAACTGTTGGAGCTCTCTACGTTGGTGGGATTTCAGGTTTCAGGTGAGTTGGTTGGGGTGTCTGGGAATGCTCAAAGCTTTTTCATGTAAATGAATGGCAATTACTTCTCCTCTTCACATTACTTTCCCACCTGAGGCATTTTACTGGTGTTCTCCACTTGCAGAGGATGGGGGAAAGCTGCCCAGTTTTTCTCCCCTCCCCTCACTGAGCTGGGGCCCTGCTGACTGAGCCCTCCCTGCAGGACTAACACGAGCTGCCCCAGAGACGCAACGTGGAGCTGAAATGCAACAAGAGGATGAGCAGGGGAGCTGCGGAATTCCTACCTCGGTCCGAGCCCACAGCAGATCGGGGGTATCTTGGCGTCGATGGGATTTTAATACGTTCTGCCTTAAACTGCAAGTTGCTCGAAGACCCTATTGTTCCAGAGAGAGACAAAGCGTTAGGTCTCACATGAGATGATTAAACACCGGCGGTCACCTCTTCACCACAATTTAGTTTTTGGAAAAGAAACCTAAGTATGGCAGAAATTCAGAGTCATGCTTTGCTAAGTATCCCCTAGAGCAGTGGTTCTCAACCTGTGGGTTGCGACCCGTTTGGGGGTCGAACAACCCTTTCACAGGGGTCACCTGATTCATAACAGTAGCAAAATCACAGTTATGAAGTAGTAACAAAACTAATTTTATCGTTGGGGGGTCACCACAACATGAGAAGCTGTATGAAAGGGTCATGGAATGAGGAAGGTTGAGAACCGCTGCCCTGGAGGGTCTAAATGTGGAGTAACAAGAAAGGAAGACGTTTAATCCTTTGTTATTGAACATACTACAAAGCCTCCAGACTAAGAATACAGTTCTCACTTTCTGCCCAGAACAAAGTCAGACATCCAAGAGAAGGGACCGTCCCACCAGAGTCTCTCTCTGAGGAAGCCGTAAGACTTCACCTGGACTACATGTTCAGAAGTGAAGAACAATACAAAACCTGCAGGATACTCAGTAAGACCCAGTGGGAGCTATGGGAAGTTGGAGAGATGAGGAAAATAGTAAAAGTGTGGGTGAGTCTACCCTGAAAAGGGCCCAGCCCTCCATGGGAACGAGCCAGCCCCAGCCTCAGATCAATGGGCTCGGTATCTGGAGCTGCGTGTACAAGGATGTGGGAACTGACCCAGCAGGCAGCTCTCCCAGAGCTCTTACCAAGACGGGCACTAGAAGGCAAGGAATTGCACCCATGGGAGGTTCTCATCTCCGAGTAGTCGTTGCAGACCCTGTGGCTCAAATCCAAGCTCAGACGTACTTGATGCTGGACACTGGGAGAGAAATGACAGGGCTTGGGAGGATGGCTGGAGCTGGCTGTGGGCCCTGTGCGGGGTTGGGGCTAGATGTGGGCCCTGTGCTGGGTTGGGGCTAATGACTCCCAGAGCTGGTGGCAGAAAGGCCCCAGAGCCCGGCCACTCATAGATAAACCTCCCACCATCTAAGTCACTTCTTCATGGTAGCCCCCACTGAAAATGGAGCAGCTAATGTCAAATCCACTATCAGGATGCTAGGGTTTGGTTCACGGTGATGAAGGCACTGCCACAGTGGAAAATAGGAGATCTGAAACCTGGTGGACAAGAGAGACAGAGCCTCTCCACAGAACATGTGACAGAGAGAGAGGACCGGGTGGGGGTGGGGGAGTAGATCCCTGTAAGCGTCAAGCAGGGTAGCAAGGCTGGAGATGAGGGAGCTGCAGGACCAGGAGCCAGGGATGGCTTGAATAAGTAGGGGCGTGCCCAAACCCTAGCAATGTCTTTTTCTCGTGAAATGAGGTGACATCTCTCTCTGCTTCAAGACCTGTGGAAGTCTCCTGTTCTCAGGATAATCTGCAACACTTCATCACGGCCTGCACCGTCTGTCCCCTCCAATCTGTGACCTTCTCCCGAACCGCTGACCCCTTGCAATGTTCCAGGTACTCTGCCCCTTGAGCTCACTGAGCGGTTCCCACTTGACTGAGGCACCTACCGCTTCCTTCCTGGGAGGTCTGCCCAATCTAATTTATCACCTTCGTTCAGGTCACAACCATATGGTCACCCCTTTTCCCTGTCGGCCTAGCCACAAATAGTGTGATTGTATACACTTTTCCTTTTGCCTCCCCACAGTGAATGCAAAGCACCACAGAAACAGAGGAGTTGAATGTTTTGTCCTGAAACTACAATAGACTGGCACATAGTAGGTGTTCAATAAACACTCGTCAAATAACTAAATGAATGAATAAGAGAGTAACCTTCACCAATGGCTCCAATCACCTCTACAAAGCTCAGCTTGTCTATAAAAGAGAGACAACAAAGGTGCTTAGCTCATAAGCTGGCTATGAGGTGAACGAGACAGTAAAGGCACAGTGCCTAGCACATAGGGACTCAATGGAAGTGGTTGCTGGTAAATTCAGAGAGCATCTTTACAGTTGTCCAGCGGGTGCTGTGAAGAAAGCATTGGGCTTGCTAACTGCAAGGATAGCCATTCAAACTCATCAGCTACTGTGGTTACACAATTTCATGTCAACTTGATAAAAGACTGAAGGGGTAGATTTTAGCCTGTCAATCAGGTCACAGCCTAATGATGCCTCCTTGTGGGCATGGCCCAATCATGAGGATTCTGGGAACATCCTCTCTTTTTCTCCTGGGAGGTGGACCACACTCTCTCTGCTTGCCTTCCAGTTGAGAAGCCATATGGTGCAACAATGCTGATGGCAGCCAGAGCCCTGGATATAGGTCCACTGCACTGAATCCACAAACTTCGCAGCCACCAGTCTGTGATCTTCCTGCATTCTGCATCATTGCATGTGACTGAGTCTGAAGAGTGACTTATGGACTAGTATCAGACTTATGGGCTAATATCAGGCTTATAGACCTGATCTGGACTGGGCTAGGATGTTTTCTTGATATACAATTACTCTTTGATATAAAGCTCTTTCTTATACAAGCATGAGTGTCACTGTATTTGTTTCTCTAGTCAACCTGGTCTATCACAGCTACTCTGAGAAAGAAAGATGAGGCTGCTGGCTCCTGTAAAGATTTACCATCTCAGAAACCCTCAAGAGCACTTCTACCCTCTCCTAGAGATTCCCTAGAAGCCAGAACTGGTTTGATGGCAGTGGGTTTAAAGCAGTCCTTCTGATGCTCTGACCAGTCCTTTCCCAGCTAGACAAGCGTCTCTGGCCAGGAACCACACTGGGACACCACAGAGGTGTTGGGGGGTAAGGGTGGGGGGGACTTCACCTACCTGGGATGCAAACCCTGGGTGCCAGCCTCTCTGGGGACCGATGAGGAGTTGCAGAGGCCAACCCTATGGCTCCGCACAGTGTAGATGGGATTCCTCAGGATGGAGCTCACGGTGGTGCTCGGGGTCATACTCCGGGGAACAGTGCCTAGAAATGGGCTCGGTGAAGACATGGCCCAACATGCAGCCCAGCCCCGACCTGCAGATACTCTCCGTGTTTCCCAGGGAGGAAGCAGCAGGATCTTTAGGGAGAGGACTCAGAAGACCAGCATTCTAGCCCCCAGAGTGCTATCAAGCCATTCTCTATCTGCAGCCTACTTCCCAGGGCTGCTGTGAAAGGGAGAGACACCTCATAGAGGAAAGGTGAAAGGTCACAGGCAGATCAGCAATTCTTGGACATGAAGCAACTTCCTCAAGTTGCTGCCCCCCTTCCTCCTGAAACAGGCAGCTCTGAAAGTCCACCCCAACCTTGTCACCAGCCCTCACCGCTAACTCACCCCCGGACACCCGGGTGGGGTAGAGTGCAAGGTTGCTATTACGGCTGGAATGCACAGGTGAGTAAGGAGACCACTCCTGGAACTCTGGAGAAAGCTCTCCTCCACTGGCCGGGGTGCACTTCTGTTCCTGTGGAACCAACAGCAGAGGCATTGGCGGGAAGAAGGAAAGAGGAGGGCGTGCTTGCATGCAGATTTCTTTCAAACATGCAAGGTGATGGTGGGGAGAGGAGGCAAGACATGCTGTTGCTCCACACCCTTAGAAGGTACCAAAACCCCCAAACCAAACTCCTGCTGGAGAGTCTATTCTGACTCACAGCAACCCTAGAAGCCAAAGTGGAACGTCCCCTTGGGCTTCCAAGACTGTTAACTCTTTACAGGAATATAAAGCTTTCTCCTTCTCCTGAGGAATGGCTGGCGGTTTTGAACTGCTGACCTGTAGTTAGCAGCCCAA